ATCCCATAAACCATGTACATCCAGTACATCCCGTACACCCCGTACATCCCCTACATCTCATACATCCAGTACATTCCGTACATCCTGTATATCCCATAATCCCATAAACCATGTACATCCAATACATCCCGTACACCCCGTACATCCTGTATATCCCATAAACCATGTACATCCAGTACATCCCGTACACCCCGTACATCCTGTATATCCCATAAACCATGTACATCCAGTACATCCCGTACACCCCGTACATCCAGTACATCCCATAAACCATGTACATCCAGTACATTCTTTACACCCTGTACATCCTGTATTGGCAAGCAGATATACTGACAGATCTGAAGGGGACCTGCATGGCACCAGCAATCTACAGGCACCTGCAGACAAAAATAATAAATTTATTAGTTTTTTACTAAAAGGTGAACTTGTAAATGTAATACCCAATTTTTTTAATTACAATATAAAAGATGATGTTTTTGCTGAGTAAATACAGTAGCTACCTAACACGTCGCCCATGGAACTTCGCCAAAACTACGGTACCTAAAAATCTCTATCGCAGCACTTTAGAAGCCTTTACAGACTACCACTTTAGAGTCACAAAGGAGGTCTGGGGCTTCAACTTTTGATCTCACTCTGACGTTTGTGACTATAGCTCTCATGCGTGGTGCGATCACCATTTACAAATGCCCACATTCGCATTGACATCACAATCTCCACGTCATTCAGTCACAGAGCACTTTGCATTCATCGAGAAACTAAAAAGTGTTCTCTGAATGGCACCCACACAGAGCAATCAATCCCCCGTGTCCAGTAATCAGAAGTGCAGCCACTTCCCGTGGGACATAGAAGCTAGCGGAGATCACTGTAGACCGCGGTGGTAGCAATGCTACAGAGGTTTCCAGCTTCTACAGGGATCCCACAGGTATATACATACGTACAAGCTGGACCAATGTAACTGTGTATTTGGTTTACCTGGATTTCATCTTTAAGGTTCAGTTCACACCATCCCACATGGAAAAAAAATATATATTTGAACTATATTTTAAAAATATTCTTCCCAAATATATTGACATATATTTGAAATACTACAATTCTGGCCATATTCATTATATTTCAAAATATATTTAAATAAATATAATATATATATATATATATATATATACAAAAAATATATGTATATATATTTTTAAAATAAATTCTTTAGATTTTTGTAACATATAAAAAGTCATTTTAACATATATTTTTGCATATATTTGTAAATGCATTCCAAAAATGTAGATTAAATGTATTTTTAAAGATATACAGTATATCTGAAAATGTATTTTTAAAAATATTTTTTATATATTTTGTAATAAAAACGCATTTCAACATACAATATATATATATATATATATACAGTGAGGAACAGAAGTATTTGAATCCCCTGCGATTTTGCAAGTTCTCCCACTTAGAAATCATGGAGGGGTCTGACATTCACATTGTAGGTGCATTCCCACTCTGAGAGACAGAATTTTTAAAACAATTCAGGATTTACATGGTATGATTTTTAAAGAATGTATTTGTCTTGCACTGCTGAACAGAAGTATTTGAACACCTGAGAAGATCCGTGTTAATATTTGGTGCAGAAGCCTTTGTCTGAAATTACAGAGGTCAGACGTTTCCTGTAGTCCTTGACCAGTTTGCACTGCAACAGGGATTTTGGCCCACTCCTCCACACAGATCTCCACTAGATCTGTCAGGTTTCGGGGCTGTCGCTGAGCAACACGGAGTTTCAGCTCCCTACAAAGATGTTCTATTGGATTTAGGTCTGGAGACTGGCTAGGCCACTCCAGAGCCTTGATATGCTTCTTACAGAGCCACTCCTTGGTTCTCCTGGCTGTGTGCTTCGGGTCGTTGTCATGTTGGAAGACCCAGCCACGACCCATCTTCAATGCTCTGACTGAGGGAAGGAGGTTGTTGCTCAAAATCTCACAATAAATGGCCCCATTCATCCTCTCCTTAATACAGTGCAGTCGTCCTGATTTAGAAGAGGACTAAAAATGTCCGTGCTTATCTGTTCCTGTTCTAATTTATCATTCTAGCTTTGGAATGTGCGCACACTGGAAGAGAGACTCACGCTGACACACAAGTTCAGTCTATGAACACTTCTAGTTTATTATAATGAGAAAGTGAGCTTATATATGCAAAATGATGCGAGAGTCATGTGAGAACAGCATAAGCATTATATTAGTCTTTGATTGGTCATTTCCACACGAAAACAATCTCCGTCATGGTATAGGTGTGATCTTCTTCCAAGTCTTATCTTATAGAGAAGAAAAACATTCCTTTGTTTCAAGTTGGCATGATGGGAGGGGAGATCGGTGCCTGTGAGCAGACATTTCTTAAACAAGAATTTCTTAAAGTACCACAAAGCCCAGCAGGCAGAAAATATTCACACAACATATATATTCATACTAAACATTTATAAATATGAAGAAAGAAATAGTATTAAAGTATAAAAATAAATATGTATAAAAATGTGTAGAAAAATGTATTTATATATATATATTCAATAGGAAACCAAATAGGCATTTTACCATATCCATCACAGTCCTGTCCCCTTCGCAGAAAAAAAGCACCCATAAAGCATGATATTACCACCCCCATGCTTCACAGTAGGGATGGTGTTCTTGGGATGCAACTCATCCTTCTTTTTCCTCCAAACACGACGAGTGAAGTTTAGACCACAAAATTCTACTTTGGTCTCATCTGACCACATGACTTTCTCCCATGCCTCCTCTGGATCATCCAGATGGTCATTGGCAAACTTCAGACGGGCCTGGGCATGTGATGACTTGAGCAGGGGAACCTTCCGTGCAATGCATGATTGGAAACCATGACGGCGTAGTGTTCTACCAACAGTGACCTTTGAAACTGTGGTCCCAGCTCTCTTCATGTCATTGACCAGCTCCTCCCTTGTAGTTCTGGGCTGATTCCTCACCTTTCTTATCATCAGTGATACCCCACGAGGTGAGATCTTGCATGGAGCCCCAGTCCGAGGGAGACTGACAGTCGTCTTTAGCCTCTTCCATATTCTAACAATTGCTCCAACCGTTGATCTATTTTCACCAAGCTGCTTGGCAATTGCCCTGTAGCCCTTTCCAGCCTTGTGGAGGTCCACAATTTTGTCTCTGGTGTCTTTTGACAGCTCTTTGGTCTTGCCCATGGTAGTAGTTGGCATCTGACTGACTGTGGGGTGGACAGGTGTCTTTAAAGAGCTCAGACAGGTGCTACTAAGTTAGATTAATGAGTGGAGTAGAGGTGGACTTTATAAAGGCGCAGTAACAGGTCTTTGAGAGCCAGAATTCTTGCTGTTTCTTAGATGTTCAAATACTTCTGTTCAGCAGTGCGAGACAAATACATTCTTTAAAAAATCAAACAATGTGATTTCCTGAATTTTGTTTTTAATTCTGTCTCTCAGAGTGGGAATGCACCTACAATGTGAATGTCAGACCCCTCCATGATTTCTAAGTGGGAGAACTTGCAAACTCGCAGGGGGTTCAAATACTTCTGCTCCTCACTGTATAAATATATATATATATACACACAGATACAGGTGAAACTCAAAAAATTAGAATATGGTGCAAAAGTTCATTTATTTCAGTGCAGCGACTTAAAAGGTGAAACTAACATATGAGACTCATTACATGCAAAGCAAGATAGTTCCAGCCGTGATTTGTCATCATTGTGATGATTATGGCTTACAGCTCATGAAAACCCCAAATCCACAATCTCAGAAAATGAGAATATTCCATGCAATCAATAAAACACGGATTGTACATAGAACAATATCGCACCTCTGAAAAGTAGAAGCTGCATATGTACTCAGTACTTGGTTTGGGCCCCTTTTGCAGCAATTACTGCCTCAATGCGGCGTGGCATGGAAGCTATCAGCCTGTGGCACTGCTGAGGTGTTATGGAAGACCAGGATGCTTCAATAGCGGCCTTCAGCTCTTCTGCATTGTTCGGTCTCATGTCTCTCATCTTTCTCTTGGCAATGCCCCATAGATTCTCTATGGGGTTCAGGTCAGGCGAGTTTGCTGGCCAATCAAGCACAGTAATCCCACGGTCATTGAACCAGGTTTTGGTGCTTTTGGCAGTGTGGGCGGAGCCAAGTCCTGCTGGAAAATGAAGTCAGCATCCCCATAAAGCTCGTCTGTGGAAGGAAGCATGAAGTTCTCCAAAATCTCCTGGTAGACGGCTGCGTTGACCCTGGACTTAATGAAGCACAGTGGACCAACACCAGCAGATGACATGGCTCCCCAAATCAACACAGACTGTGGAAACTTCACACTGGACTTCAAGCATCTTGCAGTGTGTGCCTCTCCATTCTTCCTCCATACTCGGGGTCCTTGGGCCTCTCCATTCTTCCTCCATACTCGGGGTCCTTGTGCCTCTCCATTCTTCCTCCATACTCAGGGTCCTTGTGCCTCTCCATTCTTCCTCCATACTCGGGGTCCTTGGGCATCTCCATTCTTCCTCCATACTCGGGGTCCTTGGGCCTCTCCATTCTTCCTCCATACTCGGGGTCCTTGTGCCTCTCCATTCTTCCTCCATACTCGGGGTCCTTGTGCCTCTCCATTCTTCCTCCATACTCGGGGTCCTTGGGCCTCTCCATTCTCCTCCATACTCGGGGTCCTTGTGCCTCTCCATTCTTCATACTCGGGGTCCTTGGGCCTCTCCATTCTTCCTCCATGCTCGGGGTCCTTGTGCTTCTCCATTCTTCCTCCATACTCGGGGTCCTTGGGCATCTCCATTCTTCCTCCATACTCGGGGTCCTTGTGCCTCTCCATTCTTCCTCCATACTCGGGGTCCTTGTGCCTCTCCATTCTTCCTCCATACTCGGGGTCCTTGGGCCTCTCCATTCCTCCTCCATACTTGGGGTCCTTGGGCCTCTCCATTCTTCCTCCATACTCGGGGTCCTTGGGCCTCTCCATTCTTACTCCATACTCGGGGTCCTTGTGCCTCTCCATTCTTCATACTCGGGGTCCTTGGGCCTCTCCATTCTTCCTCTATACTCGGGGTCCTTGTGCCTCTCCATTCTTCCTCCATACTCGGGGTCCTTGGGCCTCTCCATTCTTCCTCCATACTCGAGGTCCTTGGGCCTCTCCATTCTTCCTCCATACTCGGGGTCCTTGTGCCTCTCCATTCTTCCTCCATACTCGGGGTCCTTGGGCCTCTCCATTCTTCCTCCATACTCGGGGTCCTTGGGCCTCTCTATTCTTCCTCCATACTCGGGGTCCTTGTGCCTCTCCATTCTTCCTCCATACTCTGGGTCCTTGGGCCTCTCCATTCTTCCTCCATACTCTGGGTCCCTGGTTTCCAAATGAGATGCAAAAGTTGCTTTCATCAGAAAAGAGGCCTTTGGACCACTGAGCACCAGACCAGGTCTGTTTTTTCTTTAGCCCAGGTAAGACGCTTCTGACGTTGTTTGTTGTTCAGGAGCGGCTTGACAAGAGGAATACGACATTTGAAGCCCATGTCCAGGATCCGTCTGTGTGTGGTGGCTCTTGATGCACTGACTCCAGCCTCAGTCCACTCCTTGTGAAAGTCCCCAACACTTTTGAATGGCCTTTTCCTGACAATCCTCTCCAGGCTGCGGTCATCCCTGCTGCTTGTGCACCTTTTTCTTCCACACTTTTCCCTTCCACATAACTTTCTATTAATGTACTTTGATACAGCACTTTGGGAACATCCAACTTCTTTTGCAATTCCCTTTTGAGGCTTTCCCTCCTTATGGAGGGTGTCAGTGATGGTGTCAGGTCAGCAGTCTTTCCCATGATTGTGATTCCTACAGAACCAGACTGAGAGACCATTTAAAGGCTCAGGAACCCTTTTCAGGTGTTATGGCTGAATGAGCTGATTAGAGTGGGACACTTTGAGCCGAGATTATTCCACCTTTTCACAATATTCTCATTTTCTGAGATTGTGGATTTGGGGTTTTCATGAGCTGTAAGCCATAATCATCACAATGATGACAAATCACGGCTGGAACTATCTTGCTTTGCATGTAATGAGTCTCATATATTAGTTTCACCTTTTAAGTTGCTGCACTGAAATAAATGAACTTTTGCAGGATATTCTAATTTTTTTAGTTTCACCTGTATTGACAGCCAGCGCAGATCACAAAGGGAGTGCGTTTTGCATGCGGCGTGACTCACGCAGGAACGCGCAGTGCACTCCTGTGCGATTCATGTGCGGCCCTAAGCATTGCTCGTACGCCAAACCAGGCAATGATTTGGAATTTGAAGCTGCGCCAATCAGGAAAGCTGTCTTCTAGTTGGCATCAACCAGGAGAGCGCCAGGGCTCCAGGTGAAAGCTGGAAGTGCCGGAGGTTGGATTTTCGCTAGTGGATAGGGGAGGGTGTGACAACTCGTTCCTGGGGTCAGTAGGGGGCCCCATGAGATGCCCCTGGTACCTTTCATAGGCTTTTTTGGGTGTGGTTTGAGTGTGGGCGGGGACACAGGGAACCCATGATTTCCTATTGCCTGGGAGCCCCATGAGTTGTCAGTCCACCCCTGGTGGGGATGTAAGACCTTGTCCTGGAATCTATGGTGGTCAGCAGCCATGCCTTTGTTGCCTTTCCACCGGTCCGGGCTCGTACTTGGTAGCTGATTGTCACATTACATGGGGGCCCCATGAGTTGTCAGTCCACCCCTGGTGGGGATGTAAGACCTTGTCCTAGAATCTATGGTGGTCGGTAGCCATGCCTTTGTTGCCTTTCCACCGGTCCGGGCTCGTACTTGGTAGCTGATTGTCACAAATACATGGGGGCCCCATGAGTTGTCAGTCCGCCCCTGGTGGGGATGTAAGACCTTGTCCTAGAATCTATGGTGGTCGGTAGCCATGCCTTTGTTGCCTTTCCACCGGTCCGGGCTCGTACTTGGTAGCTGATTGTCACATTACATGGGGGCCCCATGAGTTGTCAGTCCGCCCCTGGTGGGGATGTAAGACCTTGTCCTAGAATCTATGGTGGTCGGTAGCCATGCCTTTGTTGCCTTTCCACCGGTCCGGGCTCGTACTTGGTAGCTGATTGTCACATTACATGGGGGCCCCATGAGTTGTCAGTCTGTCCCCTGGTGGGGATGTAAGACCTTGTCCTGGAATCTATGGTGGTCGGTAGTCATGCCTTTGTTGCCTTTCCACCGGTCCGGGCTCGTACTTGGTAGCTGATTGTCACATTACATGGGGGCCCCATGAGTTGTCAGTCCACCCCTGGTGGGGATGTAAGACCTTGTCCTAGAATCTATGGTGGTCGGTAGCCATGCCTTTGTTGCCTTTCCACCGGTCCAGGCTCGTACTTGGTAGCTGATTGTCACAATACATGGGGGCCCCATGAGTTGTCAGTCCACCCCTGGTGGGGATATAAGACCTTGTCCTAGAATCTATGGTGGTTGGCAGCCATGCCTTTGTTGCCTTTCCACCGGTCCGGGCTCGTACTTGGTAGCTGATTGTCACAATACATGGGGGCCCCATGAGTTGTCAGTCCACCCCTGGTGGGGATATAAGACCTTGTCCTAGAATCTATGGTGGTTGGCAGCCATGCCTTTGTTGCCTTTCCACCGGTCCGGGCTCGTACTTGGTAGCTGATTGTCACAATACATGGGGGCCCCATGAGTTGTCAGTCCGCCCCTGGTGGGAATGTAAGACCTTGTCCTAGAATCTATGGTGGTCGGTAGCCATGCCTTTGTTGCCTTTCCACCGGTCCAGGCTCGTACTTGGTAGCTGATTGTCACAATACATGGTGGCCCCATGAGTTGTCAGTCCACCTCTGGTGGGGATATAAGACCTTGTCCTAGAATCTATGGTGGTCGGTAGCCATGCCTTTGTTGCCTTTCCACCGGTCCAAGCTCGTACTTGGTAGCTGATTGTCACATTACATGGGGGCCCCATGAGTTGTCAGTCTGTCCCTGGTTGGGATGTAAGACCTTGTCCTGGAATCTATGGTGGTCGGTAGTCATGCCTTTGTTGCCTTTCCACCGGTCCGGGCTCGTACTTGGTAGCTGATTGTCACATTACATGGGGGCCCCATGAGTTGTCAGTCCACCCCTGGTGGGGATGTAAGACCTTGTCCTAGAATCTATGGTGGTCGGTAGCCATGCCTTTGTTGCCTTTCCACCGGTCCCGGGCTCGTACTCGGTAGCTGATTGTCACATTACACAGCCATCTCTTCTTTGTACATAACCCCGCGCTGAGAGCGAGCGACACCCGCCGACCTCTTGCCAATGACGCCTTCATCAGCCGGAGATTAATCTGCGCTGACAGACCCCACAGGGTGCGTGCCGGATGATTCTATTAGTCGTGGCTCCGGGCTGAACTATCTTGCTGGTATAATGAGGGAGCGGGAGCCACGCCGAGATCTGCGCTGGGTTTAATAGGGAGCGACAATAATATCTCTGAACCATTACAGACAATGATGGAAATTCTCGATTTTGGCCATCGGGGTATTTCCAGAAAATTGTGTCAGCTGAAAAAAAAATGAAAGGGTTCTTCTTCATAGTAGAGTTTAAAGGGCCACTCCACCCACAACTGTTATTTCTGTGTTTAGTGAATGCAGGAGAATTAAATCCCTTGACAGTCTTATCTCTCTCGGGGGCTCTATTGGTGAGATCTCTGCGCTGAGTTTCCAGGTCCTTACACCCATTATGAGGGGTTCCCACCATCCCTGTGCTGAGTTCCCGGGTCTGTACATCTGCTGTGCCCATTATGAGAGGTTCCCACCATCCCTGTGCTGGGTTCCAGGGTCTGTACACCCGTTGTGCCCATTGTGAGGGGTTCCCACCATCCCTGTGCTGAGTTCCTTGGTCTGTACAGCCACTGTTCCCATTATGAGGGGTTCCCACCCATCCATGTGCCGAGTTCCAGGGCCTGTACACCTGCTGTGCCCCTTTGAGGGTTTCCCACCATCCCTGTGCTGAGTTCCCGGGTCTGTACACCCGCTGTGCCCATTATGAAGGGTTCCCACCATCCCTGTGCTGAGTTCCCGGGTCTGTACACCCGCTGTGCCCATTATGAGGGGTTCCCACCATCCCTGTGCTGAGTTCCCAGGTCTGTACACCCGCTGTGCCCATTATGGGGGGGTCCCACCATCCCTGTGCTGAGTTCCCGAGTCTGTACACCCGCTGTGCCCATTATGAAGGGTTCCCACCATCCCTGTGCTGAGTTCCCGGGTCTGTACACCCGCTGTGCCCATTATGGGGGGTTCCCACCATCCCTGTGCTGAGTTCCCGGGTCTCTACACCTGCTGTGCCCATTATGGGGGGTTCCCACCATCCCTGTGCTGAGTTCCCGGGTCTGTACATCTGCTGTGCCCATTATGAGAGGTTCCCACCATCCCTGTGCTGAGTTCCCGAGTCTGTACACCCCGCTGTGCCCATTATGGGGGGTTCCCACCATCCCTGTGCTGAGTTCCCGAGTCTGTACACCCGCTGTGCCCATTATGAGGGGTTCCCACCACCCCTGTGCTGAGTTCCCGGGTCTGTACACCCGCTGTGCCCATTATGAGGGGTTCCCACCATCCCTGTGCTGAGTTCCCGGGTCTGTACACCCGCTGTGCTCATTATGAGGGGTTCCCACCATCCCTGTGCTGAGTTCCCTGGTCTGTACACCCGCTGTGCCCATTATGAGGGGTTCCCACCATCCCTGTGCTGAGTTCCCTGGTCTGTACACCCGCTGTGCCCATTATGAGGGGTTCCCACCATCTCTGTGCTGAGTTCCCGGGTCTGTACACCCGCTGGGCCCATTATGAGGGGTTCCCACCATCCCTGTGCTGAATTCCCTGGTCTGTACACCCGCTGTGCCCATTATGAGGGGTTCCCACCATCCCTGTGCTGAGTTCCCGGGTCTGTACACCCGCTGTGCCCATTATGGGGGGTTCCCACCATCCCTGTGCTGAGTTCCCTGGTCTGTACACCCGCTGTGCCCATTATGAGGGGTTCCCACCATCCCTGTGCTGAGTTCCCTGGTCTGTACACCCGCTGTGCCCATTATGAGGGGTCCCCACCATCCCTGTGCTGAGTTCCCGGGTCTGTACACCCGCTGTGCCCATTATAAGGTGTTGCCACCAACCTTGAAAATCAGATGAATGCATTGTCAGGGGCAGTCCTCTGATCTCTGTGAGAGGTAATATATACTGGGAGTGTTACACAGACACATTAATTAGCACTGAACATGAAAAAGTTATTTAAAAAGATAACTGGTTCTCTTTACATTTGACCCCCGGCGGACACACACTGGGAGAAAACAATCCGGAATACAGGATGTACTGAACAACCTCTTCTCTATGAACCCGG